TTGTAATGTGAATTTAGTGTGAAAATGAATTATGTTGCCTTTATACTATAACTTATGATTTTATGATATAATGCTTGAAAAATGATAGAATAGATGCTCATCCTTACTAATAAATTCAAGAAACAGGATGATAGAGACTCAGGGAAAAATTAGACTAATAGATAGTTTTATATATTTTAGGTTAAATTATGTATTTAATCAATATTAAAGAGTATGTTATTTTAAATTTGCTATACTTGTAGAGGATGAACCTAGGATTTTTGTTATGATAGAGATGTATTTCTCTCGTAGTATTCCTTTTGACTTTCCTAGGAATAGAATACACCAGACCTTGTGTGTATATATGTAAAGAGGTACCGTTAGGTCCCTGACAGCTTTCACGTATCTATTTACCTACCACGATCATGACTCTTTTAAAAGACTATCTAGATGGACCTTTGAGCATGTCACTAGCACAAAGGTTAGAGCTGATTTAGGCGATCGCTACCTGGGATCAGACGAGAATTTGGATTCGGAAGACTTAGCTGAAATAGAGAGGTGGAACGTTGTAGATGAGTATGATCGGTCTTCAGTAGTTGGTTTTAAGAAAGACTATTATGAGACTTATATTTGTTTATGTAATGTAAATATTATGGTTATGAATATGTTGTTTAAGTCCCATCCATTTTAACAGCTTGTAAAAATTTGATGTTAATGTATGTACTTTATATTCAGGTTTCCCATGAAGACTACTAAGATGTATTTGTAATATTTATTTACTCTTTCTAATATTTATTATTATTGTTATATTATTATTATAAGTTTTAAAATTTTCATTTACACACAGAACTTAAAGAAAAATTTTCAGTAATTTGCTATAATAAATTCTTTGAATTAAAAAAAAAAAGATGTATTATTTTAAATGATTAAGAATAATTCATACATTGTACAGATTTTGAGATAAGGATGTTACAAGGGTCAGGGTAGAATTCCTACTTATCGCCATACTTTCTACAATGAAAAGAGATAAAGTGTAGGCCCTCATACTCAACTTTAAATTCTTGGCCAAGGACTTTGAAAAAAGAGACAAGATTTTTCCTAAGGTCAAGTTCTACATAGATCCTAACAAACCTACCTCTAGATTAAAGGGTAGTATTAGGTGGGTCAACTTTAAGCATTAGACCCCAGATAAGAACCTACTTGCCATAGAAATTTTTCCTTATATAATTCAAGGGAGAGGTCCGGTATGCTAACCTAGGTAGCAAGTTTCTTAAATGAATGGTCTCTAGGCCTGAACAAATGCCTCCAGCGTTGGACTAATAGTTAGTGGTCCAAGATTAGCCAAGGACCCTCAAATAAAGCATATTTATAGTCCTTGTTATTATCAAATTTAACTAAGAAATATTCATTATTCAGATCTAGTATTTTCAAGGGCCTATTCCCCCCAAACATTACCTAACTTTTGATACGAGTAGTTGAAACTTATCATTTTACCTAGAAGTTTAACAATCAACGAATGTTTCTAGGGAGAACATCATTGTTTATCTCTAAAGGGATTTAGATTAGGGCATAGAATTTGTTAGAATTAGACAAATATTGTTCATCAAAATTAGGGTTAATATTAAGCTCTTCTAGCACCGATTTTACAATATCCTCATCTTTAAGGGTAAGATATAAATTTTTAATCAATAAGACTTTATCTTTATAAGAAACTGTAGTAGAAAAGTTAGGGTTCGAAGACACCTGATCATCAAGAGCATTTTGACTGTATTCTTGTTGCATATTTGCACCCAGATCCTTCTCTGATGCTAGCAAGACCAGCTTAACCTTCTTGGTGCTTCTTCTTTCCATTAAATCGGTCTCTTCTTGAGACCATTTTTCAGCCTTTTGATGGTTTGTGTAGTCCATCAAACACAGATCTGAGCTTCAAGATGAAACCCTACTAATAATTTTATTTCATTTTTAACGTTCTATCACTATCAACACAAAGTTAGTGGGAATGTCTCTAACATAATATGCAAGATCACTTTTCATTGTTACTAGAATCCAATTTTTATTATAATTAAAATAAAAAATAATTTTTTAAAATGTCATGTTGTTTAAAAATTTAAAATATATCCTAATAGTGCTTAATACATAGATCATATCAGGGTAGAACGTAGAGCTGCTTATTAGTTGGTTTCAAGCTACTAATGCTCAATCCAACCAAATCCATGAAAATTTCTCTCACTCATTTCTGTCAAATAAATATTTCTAGTGAATCAAGTTTTGAGTCTATAAATAACAACTAATTATGGATGGTTGCAAACAATGACAGACTATTAGGCCTAGACAAGTTTTTTTTATCTTTTACCTTCTCCATCACTATTCCTAATTAATGTTTTCCATGGAAGCCTCTAAAAAAAATTAAGTTACCAAAAAATTAAGGTCAACCCCAAGAACTTTAAATTGAAAATATATATTAACAAAAAAAAAAATCATCCCAATTCATAAGCGAACACTAGGCAAACTCTATCCAATATCTACTACACCAAACCATGGTTAAGGTAAAACAAAGTAACATACAACACAAAAGTGTACTATTTAACAATCAAGATAGCAAAATCAACCAAAAAATTCAAATATTTGCTAAAAAATAGCAAGAAGTAGCAGGAAGCACCCACCATTGCGGGCTAAGAAAGAAATTCCTTAACCTTGGCAAGCACAAGATCACCAACCTTCTATTGCCAATGAGCAATGACTATTGTTATCACTTTTTTTCACTTCCTTCATGCGACTAAGTGATATAACTGTAATCAAACATTAAACTATAATGAGCAATTAGTTTGGAATTAAACCGTCAAGCTTAACACCATTTCAAATTCTTTCAAAGATGGAACAAATTGGCATAATTCATAAATTGCAAAGAGAAATAGAATTAAGTAGCCTTAGGAAAAATCCTTAGTGGGGAGAGAAGAAAAGAGAGTTTCAATTGAAATGACATAAATTGGTTTAGTGGTGTGGAAGAAGTTGCAAATGTGTTGTTTACAATCTGCGTGAAAAGCTGAGTATGCATTCATACTCCCTATAAAGTGTGTTAATGTGTGGTATGAAGTGGGAGAAGAGACATAAAATGGTGCATTACAGTTTTAGGGTTTCAAAATTTATTATTTTATATGCTGCATTTGGTTGGGTTCAAGTACCGTTGGTTTTTGCTGTCAAAACCTAAGTCTGACCAAAAGAACCCAATTCAAAAAATTGTTTAAACTTGACTCGTTAGAAACCTACCCAAATAGATAATTGGAGCTCTAGATAAGCTGATTTTGGTTAGACATAATTTGCATGCCAAGATCTATTGAAACGAATTATAGTTTGCACATAACTCACATAAGGTTTAACCGACTTGCAATTGAGCATGTCCCATGCTAAAGTTAAGCATGACCATGTTCAAACTTAAGTCACACAAGGATGAAATGACTTGTAAATTATACATAAGTCACCATCCTTGTATGACTTATGAACTAACATAGCCATGTTTTAACGAACATGATTATGTTTATCTTTGAACATAGTCATACTTAATTTATCACAAATGTGTTCAAATATTTTGACCTCTTTAATTTTAAATTTTAAAGGACTATAACTTTTTTTTTACTAAATTCTAATTCATATAAATTATATGTTTATTTTATATAATTTTAATTTGTAATTACAATTATAAAAGTTGAAACTATCGGACCCTCAATATAGCAGTGAAACAAAAGAACATTATCTAATATGTTGGTGTAAAAAATAAAAAATGCAACTTATTTTTATGAAACTTATTTGGGTTTTATGAAAATAGTTTATAATAAATTTTATTATGAAATTAATAGTATAAAACATTAAAATTTTAAATAATTATTTATTAATAAATATTTAATTAAATTATTTATTCTTTTATTTATGAACAAAATTATTTATTTAGATATAAAACACCCCATAACAATGTGTTAGTTCAGGTAAGAATAAAAAAAATGCCTTGACTCCACCTAATTCAATTTGGCCGAGCCCTAACATTATTAATCCAGACAAATCAAAAGTTATCACAATTATTTATTATAATTATTGTTTTTAAAATTGAGTTTAATTTTAATACATTTTAGCATAATAATTTTATACTGTTAAACAAACTAAAAACATCACGTATAAAATCTAAAATAATTAATATAAATTTCTAAAATATTTACCTGATAGTAAAAAAAATATTTACATTATTAGTGCATTCAAATTAAATTTTTAAAATTTTACCTGAATACTATTTTATTATAAACATTAATATATTTAAATTATTTTAAATTATTTTTTAATGGGTAAAAATACCAAGGATCAAGCTCCAAGAACCGTGTGGGATTAATAATTTAACATTAAAATCATAGACAAACAAAATCTTTTCAAGCTTGAATAACCTTTTTATCCCTTTTCAATTTCCTTGGCATGTTGACCTAAATTAGAGACATTTTGGAAGAGTTTGTTTTAGACTTATGAAAGTGATTTACAACTTTTTATTAGCTTATTTTAACTATCTCAATGAGCTTCTGAATAAGTCATTATATAATAAAAGTTTATTAAATAATATTTACCTAAACTGATTTTTCAAACACATCATTTGCCTGCAAGTAACCTATACTATAATAAATCTGATCAATAACATGTTGCGTATCAACGATAAAATGACAATTTTTTTTGGCCCAATAGCACTGACTTAATATTTTTGCAAGTTATGATTATTTGAATTAAAGAGCAATTTCCCATTACAAGACATGGATTGTTGGTCTAGTTCTCAAGTAAATCTACCATAGTCAAACACTTAAAATGTTTAAAAGTATCTTAAAAAATAGGTGAATTTCTAACATGAATACCTTATCCTGCACAATTAACAATTCTACTTCAGTGTAGAGAGCTTACTATATCTTTTTAAGGTTTGGTTTAAATAATCTGTTATAGGTGAGTAGGTCAAATGCAAATGCATTATGTGTTTGGGCAAAGCTACTCATTGTGATAGTGAATGGCATTTAGGTACTTACTATTTATAGAAGGGAAAAATTAATGAAGTAATGTTAATAATTTATAAGATACAATAAAACGCCTTCTCAAAAGCCTTCCTTAATTAAAAACCCACCTGCTTTCTAACTATAACAAGGGTCACTTATGATGAAAATGCTAGTGGATTGCCAACATTTAAGAAATTGTTACCAGAACACCACAGTTCATCATTCAAATCCTGACACAACTTTACTTTGTTGACTCCATATTGGATTGTAAAAAAGGAGCAGAACAAACATACTTAAGATTCTAAGGCCTGTGACCAAGAAGAGATGGCCTGTAAAACACATGGCTCTGGGCAATCTCAATACGGTCACGAGGATCATTCATGGTCTCATCTCGCAATGCTTGAAGAATGGCCTGTACTGGAGATTCCCTGAAGATTAGAGGTCAGCAAAACCAGGGAAAAAGTTAGTTTCAAACTCATATTACTGTATATTAGTTGATGCTGGTAGCATAATCCATTGATTTCAATAATATTTCCAATTTAGCTAGCAAGGATACATAGAAACTTCCATTGAAAGGCCGTATGTATTAACACTAAAATGGATTCGTGGAGGGTTTAAAATAAATTACTCTAAAGCCAATAAAGCCTAGGTCCATCTGTTTGATTTTTTTTTCATTCTGAAAGGAAGAATAGAGATAGCGAGACGAGCAGTTAAGTAGCAAAATTTATTACCTAATTATTAGTATTTTATATAACATCTTCAAGATGGGGCAAAGCTCCACTGGGGCAACGTGCTTGTTTTCGTCAGGATTTAGGACATTTAAGCTGGACTGACTAAGTAGCTCATAGAATGCTTTAACTGCAGAGACTCCCTATAACATGCAAAGCAAAATACACATCATTGATAAGCTGAAGAAACTTTGAATGAATTTTGCTATCTTAAATTCTTTCTGATCAGAAAGCAAGAGCCAAAGGTATTTTGAATGACCAAAATCTATACCTGAATCATCCCCTTTCCCTTGATGCTGTCACCCATTTCAAGGCTCAATTCTCCTTTGGCCAACTTTTGTCCATACCACGCATTTCGACCTTTCAACAAGGTTACGTACGTATCAGCCAAGAGAGGCCCTGCAAGTCTCTCTGGTTCTTCTGCCAATAGATGAGTGATAAAAATCATCTCCGACGTACAGTGAGCAAAGTACACTGATTTGCTGGTGGCACTCTCATTTGTTAAAGCAGCTACCATTCCTGTGAAATCAAATGTCATGAGTACAAATTACAATAATTGAAAACATTAAGAGCACAATATACCACGGTCCAACAGAAAAAAGGAATTCAAAGAAAAGACCATCAAAGCACATTACATGAATGACATCCAGAAACTCAGTCTAACTACAACATTAAATAGTATGTCAACCTCTCACTGATATTAAGTCCATTCTATGTGACTACATAATCATATTTGAAAATTGTACTTTTATTGACAAATTATTGGTATCTGATAAAATCAAGACCTCTGGAATAAATCATTTCAGTTGCAGATTTACACCTTCTGAGTATTGCCAAAATAACTTGTTCTCAAAAGTCAGGAGATCATCAATTGTTCTTTAATAAATAAATACATTTGCTCAATAGAGAAATCATTTGATCAATTCTAATCTGTCAATCACAAGGCATTATGGAGCTCCTTTATACCAATAAGTATTGAGATTAAATTGCAACACGTGAAGAAACAGATCTTGGGCTGGTGTAGGTGTTCAATGTTCAAAGAAACACAACAAATAAGAAAGTAGAGTCCGAAGCAGACTATCATAGACTAAAAAGTCATTCCTAATCTCTAAAAGCTCTGGATGATATTTAGCCAAATAAAATACAATAAACAAGTCACTTCAGTGAGAAAATAAGAAGTTATAAAAAGGGCAAAGTGCCTGAAAAGTGGGGACTCACTAAACCAATAAACCCCGACAACTGTAGGTTATAAATAAACAGCCCAGGAAGAAGCTTGGCGAGTGGGAATCCTCTGAATAGTTTATCAAAATAATATCTGGAATAAGAAAGTACAAAACACTAAACTCTAAAGTATATTTGAAAAAAAAAAAGACATAAAAATTGGGGATCCCTTTGAAAAAAAGTTTCCACCGTGAGTATATCTAATAAGAAAGAAAGATTCTTCTCTCCCTCTCTCCTGCTTAATACTATTTGTACCTATTTGCCTCTACTTAGTTGTTTTGTACAATAACTAAATTTTACCTGCTCCAATAGCGTATACATTCTTTAATCCACCCATAACTTCATGAGTAACAAGGTCACCATTATCCCACACTATAAAGTGGGGCTGCCTCAAAAACTTCGCCAGTGGTTTCCTCCACTTTTCTGCCCCACAGATCCGAGCATTTGCATATTCCTTGTTGTAAATTTCTGAGGCAATGTTAGGACCTCCAAGATAAAGGATGTTCTCAATGGGGACTCCAGCTGCAAGACATGATACAGACAATGAATGAAATGAATAAAAAAAAAATAAAAAAAAAATCAAGTTGTAGGACAATGTTGCCAACAAAATTGAAATGAAGCAAAATTCAAGTTGCAGGACAAAGAAACCTAGTCACAACTGAAAACCACATTATAAAATAGGTTGAAGTTACACTAAAAGAGGGATTAACTTATCAAATTCTACAGGGAACATTTAGATAGAAAGATAGGGAACTTCAAAGTGCATATAACTCAAACAACGTAGATCACAACACAAAGCAATTAATGAAATGTACATAAAAGTATCTTACTTGCTCGATTGATCATCAGAGTTGGAGTTATTATTCGTGGTTCAGGACCCAATTCAGCCTCTACACCCTTTGCCAAGGAAATAATGACAGGAACTGTGATTCTCTCTTTCCAGTACTTGCTAATTTCTTCAAATACCTCACGGGTTTCTGTGGATGGCAAACCATTAATCACAATGTCAGCATCCCAAACAGCCTCCTGCAAGTTTGTCACAACCTTGAGAGGACACAAAGGTGTATCAATCATGTTCAAGCAAAACCCATCTTTCAAAATCTCATCTGCATAAAGGACACGATCACCTAACCTTCCCTCGACATATTTCAAATATGCACACCGCCTAATCAGCCTCCTCAGCACATCCTCCCTGGAATTGATCACCTCAAACAAGTGCTTAGCCGTGGCCCTGTCAACTGTTCTTCCGGGTCTTCTCCATATCCTAATCAGAACCTTTTCTCTTAAACTACCATAAGCCTCCTGTAACATAGCTGTGAACACACTACCCCAAGCCCCAGCTCCAACACCCACTATTCTCAATGGATCACCATCCACTTTCCGCATTAACTGACGAAGCTCATCAAGCTTCTCTTCCAAACTACCGTTTACATTTTGGATAGAACCATTTGAACATGCATTGTTAGACATAGCTTCACCGGTTCCATACATCTTTGATCTAAATGACACAGCCAAATACAAATAAAAATTCTGGGAGCTATCAACTAAAGATCTTGAATACCCATTAACCTTAGTAGAAAATCTCATCCAAAGCTTCAACCTTTAGAAGTAAAAATAGGCACCCAAGTAACCACTACCTTCCAAAACATCAAATTCTAACTAAAACAACCAACCCCACCAATCATATCACACGGGGAAATCAATGAATTGAGAAAAGGAAATTCAGTAACATTGGTGTAGATGCATTTATAAGGCCTATGACATGCGTGGTAAGAAAATGTCCCCAATTGACTAGTTTGGTAATCTAATCCGAACAAACCATTCATTAAAGGACAACAAAAACAACCAATGTCGGCGGGTTCTCCAACGCGTGAACTTGAAATGAAAATGGAAGAAGAGAAGCTTCACAGAGACCTTGGAAGCTGTGAATGCGACGGTGTTGTTCCTCTGTGCTGTGTCGCTTAGTACATGCGCCGTCTACTATCGTTGTAGCCGTCAATCCTTGCGACAACGGAGCTAATGCACGCCGTCGTTACTAGTTACTACACCACACTCACAAACCCTTCAATTTTTACAGTATCCTTTTAACTTGGGCTCTTCCTTCCTTTTTTCTTTATCTCTCTTTTAATGTTGAAAACTTTAGAAAAATAATTTAAGTTTTTAAAACTATAACACGTTATCTTATAATCTTATTTTAATTCCCCTTCCTTTTCAGCTTAGTTTCGCTCGGATAATTTTGCATATGTATTATTCTTTGATTAATATATTTAAAACTCAATTGTAATACAACTCTTTTTATTTTATTTTGTGCCATGCACACGACTTTATATGCTATTCTCTAATTATATATATAAAAGGACAAAATTTTCGTTAGATGTAAGTCAGATCAAGTGTAAGCATAAAAAAAAAAGTAATTAAAAAGTAAAAATAAAAAATTGTTACGCTGGTCTATAAAATTCCTTAAATAAGAAATAGTTTTAAATGAACAAAAATTATGAAATAAATTAAAAACATTTACATATTTTGAGTCAAGACGTTGACACGTGTCGCCTTATCGCATTACTTTATTTTAATAAATATTTTTAAATAATATATTTATAAATATATGAAAAATTTAATATATACAATAATAAATATATATATATATATATATAATAATAATAATAATAATTTAACGGTTAAATTAATCAATTATATATTTTACAACAAATTATTAAATAATATAAAAATTAAAATTTGGCAGATGATATTATCATATTTAATTTTATTTATTTATTTTTATTAGTATCCATGCCATGTTAAAGTTTTCTTTTATTTTATTTGAGTCCAAAGTCAACGTCCAAAAACAAAAATTAAATTTGATCATCATTTATATTTTGGTGGTTAACAATGAAACATTAGAAACTAATATTTTGGGCCAAGTTGGTACCCACCTAACCTATAACATCGCTTAATTGTTTGAGCGTAAGATCTAACAGAAGTTGCGATTGATTCTTCCTTCCCCTTTGTTGTTTTGCTTCAGCACCACATTAATACTTACAATTGGAATCAATCTATCTGTTTACGATGTTTCACAAAGGTTGTTTGTTGCTAACGAATCTCATCAATTATCTCATGTAATTTCTAGTCAAGCATGCAAATGCATGATTGAGAATGCTAATGTAATAATAACCCAAGCATCTTCTATCCAAATTCCCGTGGGATACTCGCCACTTAATATTATTAGCTTCACATTTCAGTGATTGAATCTGTTCGCTTGAAAGATGATCTCTGATGATGCATGAAAATAAGTGATGTTCGTGAAATGAACCCAACTTTGGCAGGTACCTAAAATCTCTTTCATTGCAGAGTTTTATTGGGAAGCGTTTTACATGCACTTCTTGTTCACGAGGAAAAAGACATTTGCACATAATGAATCAGAAGAATAATGTCTGTCCGCTAGGTCAATTTTGTGATGATATTTTTATTTTTAATCGGTCCAGAATAGATAAATTCACTAGTATATGTTTGTCAATGTTCTCTATGTGAAATAAACATTTTGAAATAAATGAGAAATGTAACAATTATACACGTAGAAGGGGCAAAAGAGACAATAGGTAAGACACTCCGAGAAGGACACGTGACTACAAATTTTTATGATCAGGGAAGAAGGCAAAATACAAGGTTCAAAATAACCAACTCAGATTCAAGGATTACGTGTGGGGCTAGGCACTCGGATGTCAAAAGGCAAAAACTGATAATACACTACCTTCTGGTTTACTGCTGTCTTCCCTATTCCTAATCAAATATAGGAAGACTTGGCCATAGATTTCATCACGAGTCTAATTGATATATTATCTAAGTATACACATTTTCTACCCTTAAAGCGAATTATTCTAACAAGCAGGTGGCTGCTGCTTCATGAAAAATGTTGTAAGTTACATGGAATTCCCAAAACGATTATAAAAGATAGAGATAAGGTGTTCAATGGTCATTTTTGGCAACATTTGTTCAAGTTGACTGGCACAACTTTAAACATGAGCACTGCATACCATCCTCAGACTAATGGGCAGTTTGAAGCATTGAATAAGTGCTTAGAGATGTATTTAACATGTTTTACTTATGATGCTCCTAAAGATTGGGCCAAGTTACTGCCTTGGACGAAGTATTGGTACAATACTTCCTACCATCATAGTAGTGGAATGACACCTTTCAAGGTGGTCCAAGGTAGAGATCCTCCCTTTCTCATCGAGAATGTTTCAGATAGCAAAGATCTCATTTTAGTCCAAGATCAATTGTTGATTTGTTGTAGAGAGATGTTATTTGGAGCAAGCTAAAATTGAATTTGTAGAAGGCCCAACAACACATGCAAAAATATGCAGATCAGGGGAGGAAAATAGTGGAGTTTAAAGTTGGTGACAAGGTGTTAGTAAAATTACAACCCTATAGACAACATTCAATAGCTTTGAGAAAGAACAAAAACTGAGTTTAAGGTACTTAGGTCCTTTTCTTATCACTGCCATGTTGGGTCAAGTTGCTTATCAGTTACTCATACGTCCTAACACTAAAATATATCTGGTGTTCCATGTTTCTCAGCTGAAATTATGCAGGGGAGATCATTTTACTCCTTATGTGTCACTCCCTATTATTGATACGGATGTAGCTCCAATTATGCAACATGAATGAATTCTGAATTCTAGAGTCAACAAGTTCAACAACACTTGGTGCTATGGAAAGGCTTAGTTGCGACTCAAGCCACTTGGAAAGATCATTCTGCATTGTAACAAGCATACGCTGACCTCAACCTTGAGGACAAGGTTGATTTTAAGGGAGGAAGAATTGTAACAAGTATACATATAGAAGGGGCAAAAGACACAATAACTGAGATAGTTAAAGGAGGACACATGGCTGTAAATCCTTAGGACCAGGGAAGGAGGCAAAGCACAAGGCACAAAATAACCAACTCTAGGCTCAAGGATTACGTGTGGGGCTAGACCCTCGTATAGAACTCGGTTAAGGAGAGAGAAGAGCATGGAAGGATTATGAATCTCTCTCCCTGGACGTTTCTCTCTAATTTTAGATATTTTTCCTTTTTCTTTTGTTCATTTCTATAATCTTTGTATACTGCTACTCGATGTTAGTAGCCTTCCCTCTATTGGAGTAAACTCCTTTTGTCGATAATACAATACAGAGACATTTGTTGTTGTTAATTCATTGAGTTGTTGTCTTAAATTGTTCATCCATTACACCATCTTCTATAACATAAGGTGATCTAGTGCATAGGGTGGCTCCCACCAGGATTTTAACCACTAATTTCTTCATCACAAGAAATCAACAATTTTCATCTAAATGGATAAATATTTAATTTTTTTAAAATAGATTAATCAACAAACATATTATCAAAATAGATAAAAGGTGAGACACACTGTTTAAGAGAAAAAGGGATAGGGCAATTACCTTTATTACTCTCTCATATGCTACCCTCAATTTGGTTTTTAGTAGGTTCTCTTTTTTTTTTTTAAATGAGTAATCATTCTTTTGCTTTAACTCATATTTTGGGATGCCGGAAAAATTTTGTAATCTATTCATTTTTTTCTTTCACATAAATAGATTTAGGTAAATTTCTAGAGTTAAAGATAGTGCTCTTGTGAGAAAGAAGTGTTACTTGTTGGAGAAAAAATTTCTATTTGAGTTCTTAAGATATATTTATAAATCAAGTATATAAGAATGTTAGGACTTGACAAGTTCTCATTCTTAAGAAATGTGTATTTTAAAACTCTAAGTATAAATCTAAAAAATTTTATTATTGAAATTAGTCTTGAATCTTTGTTAAATATTATTAGTATTTGAATTTTTAGACTTGCACCTTTCTCACGATTCTAAAGTAGTCCTATGAAGCAAATTAATTGACTTTTATTGTTTATGAGTAAATAATGATCATATTGACTTGTTTTTAATTGTTATTCTAATCATTCATTGTGTTATTATTGTCATAGAATTATTTACTTGGGAGAAACATGTCTTAAATTTATTTATTGATCATGTAATAGTTTATTGGGTTACGTATTTTATTTAATTATATGAATTTAGTTTAAAAAAATGTGAAAGAAGTGATAGTTTTAATTTTATTTGATGATATTTAATTGTGCAACATACGTGTTGAGACTTTTATTATTTAACATAAATTTGATTTATATATGAGAATAATTTTTTGCTATATAAATTTTTTTAGGAGAAATTACATTAGAATCCTATAATCTTTAATAGAAAGATCAGTTTAGTTACACCTAATTATACTTCGAGATGAGAGGACTACCTGTTAAAAATTGCACGAAGAGAACTATCAACTAGGTGTAATTACCTTGAGCTATTGGTTCTCTCGTGAGTGACTCTCATAGTATTATGTTGGCATTTATTTTATTGATGTTTTAAGAAACTATTATTATTTAACTTTTCTTTATGCATATTTTATCATCGCACTCATAATTAAAACAATATTTTTATTTAATAGTGTAAACTTTTGATCATGACTAAACTTTTAAAAAAGTAGTTACAATGAATTTCTTTTAAAGTTGTATACTTTAATTAAGTTCTATGTTTGTGAGTTATTTATGCTTTATTTGTTTCCCTTTCTTTATTCATTGTAGTTATTATGTCTTTATTGAATTTGTATGACTAACTACCCTATTTATTCACTATTTACATATCACAAGTAGAGTTGCAGATTTTTAGAAAAATCAATTCATCTTAGTAAAATTTCTGTTAATAGGCCTTCATTATTTTAGTGACCTCAGTATTTTTTTGTTTTATTATGTTTTAGACATTTTACAGTTGTTAAAGAGTTAAATTTTTTATTTTGAATATGTATTAGATATTCTAGTTTTGATATTATAATATGTTGGAGTTTAATTGGTTATGGTTGAGTTATAAATCAACTTTGATAATTTATCATATTTTTGTATAATGAAAATAAAGAAAAAATTTTGCCAAATTTTTTTAACAAATTTATCATAGACTTGTTAGATTAAGTAGTGATTTTTAAATAGACTTGTCAAATTAAGTAGTAATTTTAAATAATTTAGCCTGTGTGAATCCATTTTAAGTTGTGACAAAAGGAAA